CACACACACACACACACCGCGGCCGTCACTGCTGTTCTTGTAGTGCCAGGTTGGAGAGTTCCAGCTTTGCATGTCATGTAATGTTCGGGTCTAAGTTAACAACCGTGTAGTGGCGCACGTCGGGGTTCATGTTCAAGCGAACATTGGCCAGAAGTCGTCAGATTTGCTCATGCGTTAATGGGGGGATAATGACCCGCCTTGCCATAAAAGATTCCGGTGCCTGAATATCAAACAGGAAAACTGACAACCCCTCAGCTCATGTAGCCGTGTGCAGCCTGGTTTCCTGTGCCTGTGCGCTTGCAGTTGGGTATTGCGGCCTCTTTCGACTTGTCTGAAGTGGCCGCCCTCGAACAAGAGGCCGGATGAGAACGAGCGTGCATAATCATACATATGCAGTTTATAGCTTATATAACTATTGAACTATGTGTGTGTGTAGATTTATGTGTACGTATATATGCACAATGATTATTTAGATGTTCTCTTTTTTCAGAGTTTCTTTTGAGTCCTGACGTTCGTAGGTTCTCCTGACATGAAGCTGCGAGCCAAGCCAAATCAAGCCAGGCTCTTTCACACTTAGAACTTGTCTAACGTTTGCCGGTCAGCAGACACCGTCTAACGGAAGACGCTATCCAGCGCAACGACATATCCAAGGCAAAGTCATGTCTAGCATGAGACCGTAAGAGACCCTTCTACTGTACCCCTGAATGATGTGAAACATAAGACCTTTGTGTACTTAATATGCGTGCACGCGCGCGCGCGCGGGTGTGTGTGTGTGTGTCTCTGTCTGTGTGTGTGTGTGTGTGTGGGTGCGTGCGTGTGCGTGTGCGTGTGCGTGTGCGTGTGCGTGTGGGTGTGTGGGTGTGTGCGTGTGTGTGTATATATATATATATGTGTGTGTGTGTGTTTGTTTGTGTCTGTGTGTGTGTGTGCAGGCATCTGTGTGTAGACACTGATGCACATGAAGTATGTGTGTTTGTATGTATGTATGTATGTATGTATGTATGTATGTAGCTATGTAGCTATGCTTGCATGCATGCATGGATGTATGTATGTATGTACGTACATGTGTGCATGAATGTATGATGTATGATGTACGTATGCATCGCTGCATGTATGCATGCATGTATAGTGAGAGGGGGAGATCGAGTGGTGCCGGTACTGTTGCTCATGTTTTCGCTGCTATTTTTCTGTCAATGTCGGGGACGAGCAATGTGGCACTTTGTGCGCCATGGCCTGGAGGGCTTCCCACCCCAATAAACTAGGTTTCCACATTCGTGCCTCCCTATATCAGTTCGTTCCGAGCCCGTTTCTCCAGATTTGTTTGCATATTTGTGCAGTGCACTTGCGCCGTGATGGCAAGAACACTGACCAGTTTAACGAACGGCAGACTGTAGACGGGCCATGGCTTGGGGCAGCAATTAAGACTATTTGGTTCCTGGGCTTTCCAAGCTGCAGCAAGGCCATGCGGAGGGGCGCATTCGACTCCCCGATCGCATCTGCGCCGCTGACATAATTTCGGGCAACAGCTTCCGCCTAAGGAGTGGCATGGTTTGAAGGTCAGACAGCACATGGCTGACATTCCTTTCGAGCACAAGCTTGCTCGCCCTAACCACTGCGCGCGATCGATCTGTGCCAGCTACAATTACAAAAGAGTCTGATATGTTGCAAACACTACTTTTGAACTCTGCTTGGGCCAGATCGTGCTGGAAGCTATGTCAGAGTTCGCTCTCGACGAGCTGAAGGAGATGCCCGGCCCTCAGTCTGTTTTCGCCCGAAACCAATCTGCACAAGATCCAGCGCAGAGTATCTTCCCGCTACTCCCCGGGATGTTTTCATGCCACGCAATATTGCCGACTCTGCAAGTGAGCTGCATTTGTGAGACAACGCAGCTTGACGAAGGGCAGAGGCAGGGATTAGAACGTCGCAGTGCCGGATCTCGAGAGGTTTTGAGAAAAGGACTTTGAATCTGCATAGCAATCCCAGGGTCTTCCGTCTGACCCCCTGGTGAAGCGTCGGGCTTGTCTGGGAAACCAAAAGTAGCATTTATTCTTGAAATGTCAGTTGGTCGTTCCGACAGACAAGGACTGGTGCAGTGGTCGAGTGGGGTGAGCAAGACTAAAGTACATGATGCCTAACCTGACATACCTAACGAGCTGGTTTGAACTAGCCGGGGGCTACAGAAGAAGCTCGCTTGGTTGTTGCCCACAGATCTCGCTGCAGTTCCAGATCAAGAGTATATAGTCACAAGAAGCACCAAACGATGACTACCACCATGACTAGGTTATCAGGTAGATAAAACATATGACAACCCTACAACGCAAAGCCCCAAGGCCGGGCTACAATGACTTGTCTGTATCCGTGAAGCTTCAGGCCCGACATGGAGTATCGAAAGTAAAGCGCATGCATGACGGATGTGTTAAGAGTTTTGGGATTCGGATCTGTGCGAGGGCCTTTGGTCAAGATTAGCATGCTCTAGCCGAGGAGATAAAGTTTGCTAGTTGAGGGTTTGCATGTTAAGATACGTTAAGAATTCTACGCTGGTCCTGGCTTACATAGCATCTACCGTGAATCTACAGGTGGCACGCCAAAGAGTGGCACTGCTCGAGCGCATCCTTGAGCATGACCGAGCCAGGATCTTACTTGTACCACTGGGATGTTGCTTCTGCGGCCGTGTCTATCGACAAGTCCAGGTACGTGGCTGTATCAGTTTGACAAAGCTTCACTGCGTCATGTAGCTAATGTCTATGCCTACCATTTTGCGTACGTCACACACACACACATATATATATATATACATATACATACCCGTACATGCATGTGTTATTCCATGTGCGCAAGCATGCTGAACGCATGCACTTATGTATGCTATGCCGTTTGCATAGCTGGATTTGTGCGCATGCTCGTGGTACTGAATTTTTCTGTTGCTGCAGCAGCCACTGCCATGCCTGTCCTCTTTTGCCTCGTGGCTCACCACGTCCGCCACCGCCGGGTTCTATGGCAGGACTTGGAAGGGCAGCCTTCCCCCTGCTACTGTTGTTGCGACGTTCCCGTATTGCTGCGATCAGTACTTGGAAAGCAACCCTGCGTTCGGATCGATAGGGCATTGTTCTGACTCAGTTCTACTATCTTCTGCAAGACATCATCTAATCAAGTCGCCAGGCCACGAAAGTGCATGGCCAGAAGCCTCCTTCCTTTATCACATCTATTGTCTTTACTCGTGCAATCATCGCTGTTGTCATGCACACGTTTGTAAGCATCATGACTGTGTTTTTTATGGGGTTAGAACAATTTTGACGTGTTTTAATATGAGATCCCTGGCCCTGACGTTGAATTGCATTCGGATCTAGGCGGACCTCGAGTCGCGACACGGTGCAAGCACGAAGCAGAAGGCGTGCTGGTTCTTTCTGACAGAAAGTCTCAAGAGGGACGGCAAGCTTATTGGGAAGCACCGGTTACACCCACCATGTCAAGTTGGGTAGATATGCTTCGGATAGATTGACAAGGATTGACTCGGGCATCCAGCAAGAACTGACAAGCCGAGAGTGAGGACACACCGATAAGCACTGCACTTACCAAGCAAGCGGTTTGTTCTGTGATTGCAGAGAGCCTGGGCTTCAGCTCCTGCTCAGCAACGCCAGTTGCAGGTCGTGCGTGCCTGTGTCCTTGCCCATCCGCAGCTCTTCCGTGCTGCGAGCTTATCTTCAGGCGGGTGCTGCAGTGGCTCGCAGAGACAGTGAGCACCGAGGGGGCAAAACGGCACATGGAAAGGGTCGTCATTGCATTTGTCAAGCGGTTCCGGTAGGCAGAACTTTTGCAGGTGTCATTGCTTAGTTATGTAGTGTGATCGGGGCGGGGAAGTTCCGCCAATGCTGAACCCGCGATGCATCAGTGAACGTCTGCATATGCACGAAGGTGTGCTGGCGCGTTCAATAAGGGCAGTATGCCTCGGCCCTGCGTGAAGAACAGGTGGCATCCTGCCCAGCCATAAATCCCAAGTCACTTCATCTTTACATGTTCCCACCGAATACAAGCGATTGGAAAAGCGACAGGGCCTTTGGCAGTATCGATCTAGCTATGCAGGTATGTATATATGCATATCTAGATCCAGGTCTATATATGTATGTATATATATATATATGGATGGATGGATGGGCCCAGTTTTCGGTTCGCAGATCACCCCCTGGTATCCCTCCTCCACCCCGCACGCCCACACATGCCGAATCCCTTGTGGCTGTGCACATGGCGGCTCCAAACCGTCAACCGCCACGAGAGTCTCGTCCCAAACACAGCCAGTCCTTGTGACAGTGCGCACTTTCCAACCACGACTCCGACATGAGGGTATTGAAAATGTGCCCGATTCCTGTGACAGTTGATCCAAGAAAGCAACATCATAATGATGATGAGGATGATGATGATGATGATGACACCCCCCCCACCAAGAAGTAGACGCATACCCCGAACTACACCATACCGCAGCCCAAGCAGACCCAAACCCGAACCACACCACACCACAGGGGTG